CTGCTAGAGGTGATGCTAACCTTGGAAGAGTTCTGTGAGAGGTCCTAAAAGGAGATGGGGTTTTTCATCTGAGTGCATGGACTCTGTGAGGACAGGGATGAAGCCAGCTACCCAACAGACTGGGCTCTATTTATATGGCAGTCTCTTAAAAACCAACTGACAAAAACACTATTTTGGTAGAAGGGAGGCCTATTTTAAAGTAGATATGGTTATAAAATTCAAAGTGAGCATTCACAGAGGAATTTATTTTTGACAGTAATCTGAAGGTACAGCCAGAGTCTCCTTCAAGATTCTTCATGATTCCTGGGAATCAATAAATAACAAACTACTGCAATAGTAAGTAACGTCTCTCAATTTGATGTGAAAACAGATTACATATATTTTTAAAAGATCTATTGTTACCTTTAAAACTCGTATACTGGAAGTCTGCGTTAAGGCTTTAAATTTTTATTTTAACAGAGATCTAACAAAGATCTTTAAAAAATATTTCCTTTAAAGGAAGAAAATCCGGGGTGCCTGGGTAGCTCAGTGGGTTAAAGACTCTGCCTTTGGCTCAGGTCATGATTCCGGAGTCCTGGGAACAAGCCCCACATCGGGCTCTCTGCTCAGCTGGGAGCCTGCTTCCTTTCCTCTCTCTCTGCCTACTTGTGATCTCTGTCTGTCAAATAAATAAATAAAATCTTAGAAACAAAAAAATCCCAGGGTACCTGGGTGGCTCAGTCGTTAAGTGTCTACCTTCGGCTCAGGTCGTGATCCCAGGGTCCTGGGATCGAGCCCTACATGAGGCATCTTGCTTGGCACGAAGCCTGCTTCTCCCTCTCACACTCCCCCTGCTTGTGTTCCCTCTCTTGCAGTCTCTCTTATTTTAAATAAATAAAATCTTTTTAAAAAAAATTAAAAAATTGCAAATCTGAAACTAATAGGTTTCAAAGCATGGCAGGATTAGGCTTTACACTTGATGAAGATAAATTTAGCTAAATTTCTGAAAACATAATCCTGAAATAGAAAATACTCTATATATGTGACCAACACCAACTAAAAAAAAAAAAAAAAAAAAAAAAAAAAGAACTAAGTTTCACTACCACCTGAATGTGGTTTTAACTCTGTTGGGCTAAACAGAGTAAAATAAAATTGCACACATGTCTATGAGTGAAACCATGGATCTCTGAGCCATGGACAAGTTGCAATAATGTGTTTTGAAGTCAGGGATGAAGGTGAAAGCCAAGTTTGTTTTTTGATTCAAGGCTCACTTGAGCCCCCATCTCCATGGTTTAACCACTTTGCTTGTTCCAGGTTTTACTCCTTGAAAGCTGCACCGATACTGCTGGGGACCAGATGAAGGCTACTGAGAAGTCACTTGTGAGAACAGGACATTGCTTGTGACATCACCCTGATCCTCCATTTGCACAGTAAATGGCAGGCTCTACCTGTCCCTTTGGATGAATGTGACATTAGGGACTGAGAGAACAAATGTCAGGAGAAACACAGGTATCAGTATATAAACGAATTGTCAGCATACTAAGTTTCTCTTTATCTAGTATTACAAATAGGTATATGTACTGTCCATTTTTGAAATGTTAGAATGTGTTTATAGCTACAAAATTTTGGTAAAATTTGGTTTGTTTGTTTTCTAGGAAGAAACGAAGTGAGAACAAGGAAATAATGAATTTTTAAAGGCCACTAAGAAGGAAAGAGTAATTATTTAAATTTAAAAAGGAGCATAAATTTCACGCAAGGCTCACTTTTTTTCCTTCAAAAACTGTAGCCAACCATTCATGACACAGAAGGAACAGCTTACCCTTGGAAGCCTCCAACATAAAGGGGCTCCACCTATCTAGTCAAGAAGCATAATGGTGAACAGGCCATCACAAGTGGATTGTACCAGGATTCAGAGCACAGCTACCAAAAGCTTTCATGAAGCAAAACACACAGCATTTATACTTAAGAAAAAGATATACCCAAATAGGTATGTATATAAAAAATATATAGACACTGGTAAGTTGGGCCATTTTGAAAGTGGAAAGAGGGAACATTTTGTTTCTATACTGAGGAAAACATAGTATTACAGCTTTATTTATATTGACTTTATTATTGCATACTACAGTTACTCCCACTTTAAAGAGAAGTCTGAACAGGAAGAGAAAGTCCTGTGGGGGCCTACATCCAAGGCCTATTTTGCAGACTTGACCATCAGTTTCAGCGGGAGGAAGCAGGGGCTGTGCATTCTGCATTGAGAATAACTGGGTGCTCCTCAAACTGTTAATAGACAACATCTCCCATTTGGCTGTTCTTTGAGTTTCATTAGCTGGGAACCCTTCGGGTGGAAGCGGAATAGGCCATAACATGTCACTAGTATCCCAGTCCATCCAATCTTACCTTCAGCCCTTAGAAGTTTCAGTTACCACAAAAAATCTGGGAAGTAGGGATTATTACACTCATCATATTGATGAGAAAGCAGGCCCAGAGAGTTTAATTAACTCTGATGGTTGCACAGCCGGTACGTTAACAGAACCAGGACGTGACCTCAGATCAGACAGTATTTAAAGACTTTAAAGACTCTTTTCACTAATCACACTTAAAAAGTTTTCACTTTTATCAGATACACCTATAAAACATCTACCTGTGAAGCTACATGGCATATGTTATATATTATATGTATATAAATTAAGAAGACACATCTGTGAAAAAAACCCCTCAATTTTCCTGGTTACACCTCTGCAGATTCATCCAAAATATCCTTAAGTGCTCTTTAATAGACAACTTGTGTGATTCGCGTATTATGGTTTCCTAATGTTAAGACCTTTAAGCTTACGGATTCTAGCAACAGTTGAATACAAAGGGGGAATACTTACCTAAGTAATAAGTATCTTCATCCCTTATATTTAGCAGAATTAGATAAGCTTTCTAATGATATCAAAGAGCATTTCTTTTTGAAATCTTCACATGCAGGGGTTCTCAGAACACTTTACACAAGTGGTTATATCTAAGAGCTGCATTTTGGAACTAAATCATTTTGGAACTAAAAAATTTTGTCTATATCTCTATGGTTATCAGATAATATACCCAAACCATGTTTTATCAAGTTGAAAACACTGGATTATGGGTCAGCATTTTTTAAAATAATTTTTTATTATGTTAGTCACCGTACAGTACTTGGTTAGTTTTTGATGTAGTGCTCCATGATTCATTGTTTCCGTGTAACCCCCAGTGCTCCATGCAGTCCGTGCCCTCCTTAATATCCATCACTGGGCTAACCCGTTTCCCCACTCCCTGTCCTCTGGATCCCTCAGTTTGATTCCCGAGTCCATAGTCTCTCATGGTTCGTCTCCCTGATTCCCACCCCCTTCATTTTCCTATGGGCCAGCATTCAATCGATTTTGCTTTGAGCACAAGGTTTCAGTCTGCAGGGTGGTTAGCAAGATCCCAAGGAGTGAATGGGATTCCTTCCCAGAAGGGAGGGAAGACGTTTTAGTGCATTTCACTGAGACATCTTCCTTCTTGTTCTTGGTCTGTTTTTCAGCTATGTTTTAATCCTGACATATAGTGGTAATTAAAGCTATGCTGTACAGTTCCTCCCATTCCCTCAGAAAGCATTCATAGTGGGTAGTAAACTAATTTTAAAGGTGGCCTCTAGAACTCAGATCAAGTAGTGGGATATTTAGTATTGTCTGTAGACTTCCACCTTCTGCCATGGCAGAGCAGGACATCACCTAGTTTGGTAGACCTCTGTCATCATGAGCGCATAGCCTTCTCTGGTCTCTGCAGAAAAAGTGATTAGAAATGTACTTCGTTTTTGCTGGAGAGGGGAATTCCTAGTACTTCGATTGCTGGTAGCTGGCCCAAATGATGGCTTCTCTGAAATCTATAATTTTTGGATACCTCTGTTCTGAGGTTTTCTGTATGATGATTTTCAGTAGGGACCAATCCTATTAAAAAAAAAAAAATTCTCCAAAATCAGATAAATATCTAAATCATTTCTCTAACAATCTATCCAGAATGCGTTTAGGGAGCCTGGAAGTTTATAAAAGTGGGAATTCATCAACAAATACTGAGTACCACCAATGAGCAATCACTATTCTAGGAGCTGGAAATAGAAGTAGGATACACAAACCAAATGATGCCATTACAGTTTGATATACTATTTATTTAGTTATTAATATGGACAGCCTATTCAACATTACAGATGTTTTTCAAAACCTATAATAAAATATAGTCCACTATCCAGCCCAGAAGAAGACAATGAACAAGATCATTCTTACAGTAAGTGTAGTATAAGCACTCACAATAACAGTCCCTTTCCTGGACATCAAAGGGAACAATCAATCGAAGTTTCTTTACCTCCACTGAGGTTTTAATTTTCTTGAATTATAGCTGTTTCAATCAAAAGTCCGACTTCAATCACCCCACAGCTTTGTGCAGCATCTCCCACTGGAGAGGAAAGAGCTCCTGTCACCTAGGGCAACCCATTCCACTGTCCTGCAGTCCTTCCATATTGGAGCCCATCAGACCTCTCAGCCAGGATTTGTCAAACTTGTGCATGGCGACAAGATACGCAGGTCACAGGGAGCTCTTGATTAATTTACAAAGATTGTGTTTCAAAGTTCTAAAAACCCATTTGGTGATGGTAGTGGCAGTGAAAGGTACACTGTATTTCGCCAAGAGGGTCTTCTCATCTCTGGAGTCTTGGCGTTGTCCCCTTTTCTGGTAGCTTTAAGATCTATTGCAGTTTTCTGTGGCAAGTAGAGGTGGGAAACTAACAGCTACTGGGTATGAGGCCATCTGCAGAGTGAATTGGACTGGCTGCTATGGCTTTTATAACCTGCTTCCTTTCTTCAGTATAGACAAACTTCTTTCTTAATCTTTTTTCTATGTCCTGCTAGTTCTATTTTCTTAATCTTTTTTTCCTATGTCCTGCTAGTTCTAGTGTAAGATTTAAAAGGACTATGACAGAGGAAACTTCTTGCTTTCATTTTAAGCTGAATGATGAAAAACAGCAAAAAACAAAAACAAAAAACACCCAACAACCCCACCCTCCAATGAGCTATACTCAATTTCCTCAGTTGAAAACAAATGCCAAGTGAACTTTTAAAGAGAGAAGTGGTGGACAATGCTGATGTCAGAATGTACATAGATCAGATTCTAAAATATAAGCCCAAAAAACCAAAAAGGATGTTACTTAGTGTAACACAGATTCTTCAACTCCTTAGTTCCATGCTGAAAAACACAAATGATTTCAATGTTAGGCTTCAATGATGATAGCCAATTAAAAATGAAATTAAAAAATCTCAGAGAAGTCCTGCCAAGTTGATGGCAGTTTCAGGAGTCTACATAGTTAGGAAGAAGGAGAAACCAAAGGGTAAAGAGTGAGAGCACTGGATTTTATTAACTCTAGGTGCCATGGTTCTGACATTAGTAGGTAAGACTAATGAATAAGCAGCTATACAGTTTTTTTTTTGGTCACTGTGCTTCCCAAGCACCAAAAAAATGGAGCTATTTTTACTATTCAGTTCCATCCTTAGTAAGCTAGACAGATCCTGCTGCATTCTTGTTTGTTTCTAATTTACCAGTACATTATTATGTAGTTTACCAAGTGTGAGGAGCAAGTCATTATGTAGTACCAAGTTTACATCATCATAGGACTACAACATGCACATTCTACTTAATGTAGCTCAAGCAACAGGAATACAAGAGAACAGTTATGGGTGGAGACTTGTTTTTGACAAATTCATGTTCACACTAACTATGGGTTTAGAAATCTTATTGGGCAGGTACCTACAGCAGTTCTTCGATTGGTACTGGAACATTACACGCATGCACAAGTGATATGGAAGAAAATGAAGCAGAAGAGGCAGCTGGATGGAGGACAAAGGGGAAATCAGAGGTGGGATAATGCCATGTATCAGGGAGGGGCTGTTTTCAGCTGTCCACAGTAAGTCTCTGCTCTGTGAGAGAGGCCTGTTGGGCAACACTTTTGTTCTCATGACTGCGAAGTTTGGATACAACATCTAGAAAGGCCAAATCCTGTACTTCCTTGTATAAAGATTCTGGAAGACAAAAAAAAAAAACCAAGGTAATAGATACGCTTCTGTTAAATTGTTCTAATCTTAAAATACAATCTATCTAGTACGTATACCCAAAATGTTTATTTGGATGATACCAAGTTATAAAACTAGGGGCAATTCTGGAAAAACTGTAGCAGCCTAGAAATGCTAAAACACTTTTAAAAACAAGTGTTGAAAAAAATAAAAATAAAGACAAGTGTTGGACATAGCAGTAGCCTAAAATGTCTTCATTAGAGATGTGTTATAATAAATCAGAGGAACTTTGCTTGCCATATTTATAGATAAATTGTCAAGTTCATAAGTCTAATTTGATTAAGAGTTATAATGAAACACAGCTCACTGTATAATCTCAAGTTTCAGTTATATACCCCTTGACCCCATCATCAGTTCAAATATGAAGTCCAATGACTTAAAAAAATCTTATTTTTGTTTCAAAATAATTTTGTGGCAAATGAAGAAGGTTATACTTCATATCCCTTCAACAAATTTCTGTGACAACAGGCTTCCCTTTTGATATCTAATCTTCCTCTTTCTTTTTCTACCTTTCTTTAACCTCAATTACAGGAAAATACAAGGCTCTTAAGACTTGGAGACTGCTATATGAGAAAACTGATGTCTAGTAAGTTTAATGCAGTCAACCTTCGTCAAGCTGATACATTTACTTTAATAAGATTATGAGGCCTAGAACTAGAAATGTTGTTAGTAAAAACAGAAAAATGCATCCTAAAATTCAGATCAAATTTCAAGTGACTCTGAATAGTCAAAACAATCTCAAAAAAGAACAAAGTTGGAGGTCTCATACTTTCTAATTTCAAAACCTACTCTACAGCTCTAATAAAACAGTATGGTGCTGAAATGAAGACAGACCTGCAGATCAACAGAATAAAACAGAAAGCCCAGAAATAAACCCTCATATATACAGTCAAAACATTTTTGACAAAGATTTGACATTCAATAAGGAAAGGACAGTTTTTCAACAAATGGTGCTGGTAAAACTGGAGAACCATAAGCCCTTCTATATAAAAATTAAATTAAAAGCTAAAACAATAAGACTCAAAAACTAAAGGAAAAACTTCATGACATTGGATTTGGCAACTGTATCTTGGATATGCATCAAAAACACAGGTAACAAAAGGAAAAACAAATACATTAGACTTCATCAAAATTAGAAACTTCTGTGTACCAAAGGTTACTATCCAGAGACTGAAAAGGCAACCCCCACAATGGGAGAAAATATATGAAAATCATAATCCAATAAGGGATTCATATCTCCAAAATATAAGGAACCCTTTCAACTCAACAACAAAATAACCCAATTAAAAAATGGGCAAAGGACTTGAATAGACATTCCCCAAAGAAGATATACAAGTGGGCAACGAACACATGAAAAGATCCCCTACATCACTAGTCATGAGGGAAATGCAAATCAAAAGAGCAGTAAGATAGCACTTCATAACCATTATGATTGCTACTATAGAAGAAAAAAATAACAAACGTTAGAATGTAAGAAATTGCAACTCATGAGCATTGCTGGTGGTAGGAATGAGTATGGTGTACCCACTGTGGAAAATAGTATGGTGATACCTCAAAAAATTAAATGTAGCCATTACTGTATGATCCAGCAATTCCACTTCTGAATATACCCAAGATGATTCAAAGCAGGAACTGAAAAAATACTTGTGCACCCGCATTTTCATAGTGGCATTATTTACAATAACCCAAAGGTCCATTGATGGATGAATGGATAACAAAATGTGATATATACATACAATGGGGCATTATTCATCCTTAAGAAGGAATGAAATTCTGACATAGGCTACTATGTGGATGAGTCCTGGAGACCTTATGGTAAGTGAAATAAGCCACACAAAAATATTACATGATTCCACTTACATGAAATACCTAGAGTAGTCAAATTAATAGAGACAGAATGGTGGTTGCCAAAAGCTGGGGGAATATGTGATTGGGGAGTTTTAAAGAGTACTTAGTTTCAGTTTGAGGGGAAAAAAAGGTGGTGATGGTTGTACAGCAGTGTGAATGTACTACTCTGCCACTGAACTGTACATTTAAAAATGGTTGGTTATAACTTTACATAAATTTTATGTATAGCACATTAAAAAAATGCCTCAGTAACAGTCTCAGCTAGGAAACAGAAGACACAAAGAAGGGGCAAATGGGAATTTTAGACCTCAAAACTATGGTTAGTGGAGAGGCTCAATAGCAGAATGGAAGGGACAGGAAAATCAGTGAACTTTAAAACAGGACAACAAAAATTATCAATTTGAAAAAGAGAGAAGATAAACTGGGGAAAAAATGAACAAAAGCCTCAGGAGCCTTTGGGATATAACTAAAGATCTCACATTCGTACCATTAGAAGACCTGAAAGGAAGGGAGAAATAGGGTGGGGCTGAAAAAGTACCTGAAGAAGATATATGGTTAAAAAAACTTTTCAAATTTAGCAGAAGACATAAGCCTGCCTACTCAAACTTGAAACAGGATAAACCCAAAGAAATCCATGCCAAGACACATCACAGTCAAGCTTGAAAATTAAAGACCAAAAAAATCTTGAAATGACACCTTACCAAGAGGGGGGAAAAGAATCGGAAGACTGTGGATTTCTTTTAAGAAACCACAGAGGCCAGAAAAAATGGCACATTTTTTAAGTGTTGGAAAAAAAACTGTCAAACCCAGAATTCTCTACCCAGAGAAAACATTTTTCACAAATGACGGGGAGAGAAGCCAAGATATTCTAAAATAACAGAAAACAATTTGTCACTAGCAGACCTAACCCAAAAGAATGGCTAAAGTAAGTTTTCTAAACAGAAGGGGAATGTTTAAAAAGAGGAGTTTGGGAACATCAGAAAGGAAGAACAACACATATAGCACAGGTGTAGATAAATAAGACTTTTCTTCTCTTGAGTGTTCTGAATTATGTTTGATGGTTGATAACAAAAATTCTAACAATATCTAATGTGGTTCTAAATGTATATATCTGAGAAAATTATAAGTAATGGGAATGAATGCTCAAGCAATCAAAAAGAAGTCAAGAATGAGAAACAGAAAATTAAAAAAAAATGAAATGCAGACTAGCCATAACATCAGTCATTACATTAAATGTAAATGGTCTAAATACACCAGTTAAAAGAGACTACCAGTGGATTAAACACATGACCTAACAAGGTGCTCTCTACACTTCCAAGTATGATGATAAAGCAGAAGCAGCTATATTCATATCAGGTAAGGTAGACTTCAGAGGAAAAAAGTTACCAGAACAGAGAGGAACATAATGATAGAAGAGTCAATCCACCAGGAAGACAACAGCAATCCAAAAGGTGTATATATTTGCCAAAAGAGCTGTAAAACATGTGAAGCAATGGGCGCCTGGGTGGCAAAGTCGTTAAGTGTCTGCCTTCAGCTCAGATCATGATCCCAGGGTCCTGAGATAGAGCCTCCCATTGGGTTCCCTGCTCTGCGGGAAGCCTGCTTCTCCCACTTCCCCTGCTTTTGTTCCCTCTTTAGCTGTGTCTCTCTCTGTCAAATAGATAAATATTTTAAAAAATAAAATTTAAAAAAACGTGAGCAAAAACTTACAGAACTAAAAGGAGAAACAGACAAATCCACCATTGTTGGAGACGTCAATACCCTGTTCTCAACAACTGACAAAACAATCAGAGTATCAATATATTCTCTTTGTTAAGAATACAGCAAACTGGGGCACCTGGGTGGCTCAGTGGGTTAAGGTCTCTGCCTTCAGCTCAGGTCATGATCCCAGAGTCCTGGGATCGAGCCCCACATCGGGCTCTCTGCTCAGCGAGGAGCCTGCGTCCTCCTCTCTCTCTGCCTGCCTCTCTGCCTACTTGTGATCTCTGTCAAATAAATAAATTCTTAAAAAAAAAAAATTCTTAAAAAAAAAAAAGAATACAGCAAACTCAATTCCACTACCAACAACCAAAAGGATCTAAGTGACATTTCAAGAACACTTCACTCAGTAATAGTAGAATACACCTTCTTTTCAGTATTCATGGAACATATACCAAAATATGCCAATGATTTCTTGAACAAATTCCTTAGCTAATACCACCATATACAAAACCAAAACTTGTTCTTTATTATTTTTTATATTGTTTTTAAAAAGATTTTATTTATTCATTTGAGAGAGCAAGAGAGAGCACAAGCAGGGTGAATGGCCAGAGGGAGACACAGGCTCCCTGGCTGAGCAGAGAGCCTGATGGGGGACTTGATCCCGGGACTCCAGGATCATGACTTGAGCTGAAGGCAGAGGTTTAACCAACTGAGCCACCCAGCGCCTAGACCTTGTTCTTTATATAAAATATTTTAGGGTTGATGAAACTTACAGGTGTTAATTTTTTAACATTGATTTTTGTCTATTTCCCATATGATATTTTTAAGGTTTTTTTTGGAGAGAGGGACTCTCAAAAGCAGACGCTGCTGAGTGTGGAGCCCCATGCAAGGCTTGATCTCATGACCTGGAGATCATGACCCATGCTGAAATCAAGAGTTGGACGCTCAACTGACTGAACCCTCCTGTGCCCCATGATACATTTATTATTCTAGTGAGAATCTTCTGGAAATATTTTCAAGTAAAAGTAATCCTATATCCTCCATAAACTAATTTCTAACGCTTTTAGAACCCAAAGCCACCATTAATTACTATTCTATATTTAATGTCAACCATATGTTGATAGATATCATATAAAAGAAGAAATGCTTACCAGACCCCATGAGAGCACAAATCAGGACCATGGAATTATATTTGATTTCAGGAGCACTTCTCTCATCTGCTAGCAGTCTGTGTAAAATCTGTACAAGTTTAGCACTTTCTAGATCTTTCTCAGCGGTGCCTAGAATATGAAACAAAGTATCCATTATATCCACTGTTCATTAACCTGGTGCAATGTGGCTAAACACTCATTCCTTTTCTAGACCTGACCATATAAAACAAAAGAACTGATAAATAATGATGACCTAGAGATAGAATATTAAATTCCTACCTTGCTAAAATAGAGTTAAATTTCAACAGATATTATAGTTTAAGCTTAAAATTTAGTATTAAAATATTCCTTTTAATATGAAGCAATTAAAAATCTTTATTATGGAAAAGGTTAAACATATACAACAGCAGAAAAGATTATATAAATGATACACTGTTTACTATTATCTTAAAAAGTTATGGCCAATCTTGTTTCATCCATCTCTAGTTTCATTCACCTACTCTTACCTGTCCCAAATTGTTTTGGAGCAAATCCTAAAAAATGACATAGTTTCTTCCTTACGTATTTCAGTATGTATTTTTAAGAGACAAAGACTCTTAATGCAATTCCTATCAAAATCCCAGAGGATTTTCTGTAGAAAATCTGTAAGTTTATACTAACATTTATATGGAAAGCCACCTGTTCTATTATCTAGAACAGGTAAATAATCTTGATAAAAAAGAAATAATATGGGAGGAATTCTACCTGATGTTAAGGCTCTCCATATAGTAGTTATCAAGAGTGTGGTATTGGTAGACAGAGATTTGAACACAGAACCCCAGAAATAGACCTATATGTATATGTTCAAATGGTTTTTGACAAAGTTACAAAATCAATTCAGTAGAGGAAAGACAGCCTCTTCAACAAACAGCACTGGCAATTAGACCTCCACAGGCTACCCCTCCCAAATTGCTGACATAAATCACACACTTTATACAGATATTAACTCAAAGCAGATTACAGACTTAAGTGTAAAATATAAAACTATAAAACTTCTAAAATATATGAAGAATTTTTAACTCAATAGTTAAAAAATTAGAAAATGAGCAAAAATTATCCACAGGTATTTCACCAAAGAATATATACAGACGGTAAAAAGTGAGGAATATCTTTTCATATGCTTATCATTAGAAAAGTAGAAAAAACATAATGAGATATCCCTACATAGCTATCAGTGGCTACAATAAAAAATAGTGACAATACCAAATATTTGGTGAGAATGTGGAGAAAACTAGAGCCCTCTTACAGTGCTGTTGGGAATGTAAAATGGTATAGCCATTCTGGAAAACAGTTTGACAGTTTCTTTAAAAATTAAACATATAGTTACCATACAACCCAGCAACTGCACTCCTAGGCATTTATCCAGAAAAATGAAAATTTATGCTCACATAAAAACCTACACATGAATATTTATAGCATTTATTTATTTTTAAAAGCCCCAAAGTGGAATCAGCCCAGATGTTTTTTGACAGGAATGGTCAAACAAACTCTGGTATGTACAAACCATGGAACACTTCAGCAATTAAAAAAAAAAAAATTGATACACAAAGCGAATCAGATGACTGTTCAGGAAATTAAGGAAGCCAATCTCAAAAGGTCACATACCATATGATTCCATATATATATATATATATAACATTTTAGAAAAGAAGGGCAGATTAGTGGTTTCCAGAGATGAGAACAAGGTAAGGGGCAGAAGAACGAGGGAGGTGACCAGTATGGTTATAAATGGAGGGATCCCTGCAGTGCTAAACTATTCAGTATCTTTACTATGGTGGTTGATACACAAACCTACATAGCCCAAAAATGAAAACAAGTAAAACTAGGAAATCTGAGTAAGACTGGTAAACTTTATATCAATAGCTGAAATATTACTTATAGTTTTGCAAAATGTCACCAGTGGGAGAAACTAGGTAAAGTATAAAAGGGATCTCTATTTTTTACAATGGCATGTGAATCTACAATTATCTAAAAAAAAAAAAAAAAAAAAAAAAAAAGTCTTAAAAATGGTGCTTTAATACTATTATCGGGGCACCTGGGTGGCTCAGTGGGGTAAAGCCTCTGCCTTCGGCTCTGGTCATGATTCCTTAGTCCTAGGATTGAGCCCAGCATCGGGCTCTCTGCTCAGCAGGGAGCCTGCTTCCCTGTCTCTCTCTCTCTCTGCCTGCTTCTCTGCCTACTTGTGATCTCTGTCAAATAAATAAATAAAATCTTTAAAAAAAAAACACTATTATCATACAAAAATTTATAATTCCTTAATATCAAATATTCTGTAACAAAACAAGACTGGAAAAATATGGTTTTCAAGTTGTGTTGTGTATTAAAAAGATAGTATGGGCTTATTTTTGTATCTTAAGCCCAAGGAGCCTAGGAAACCATAGCTAATGATAAAAAAAAAAAAAAAAGTATGTATTTTATATAGTTGTAAGGTGACCAGATTGAGGCAAATGTTTAGCTATTAGGAAGCTGATGAAATTACACCTTGTTTGGAAGATACTGGCACAAAACCAGATTCACCCCAGGCTGAGTCATCAAGCATATTCTGAAACTGCCCCATCACTTTAAACCACTTAAAACCAGCCCATGAACCCAGTTTGGTACAGAATGTCCTCACAGACTCCCACCCCTTTATCATAGCTCTCCCCACGATGTCTGGACTTCTAGGCTGACTCTACTCAAACCACGTGTGAAGTCATGGCTAATCTGGGCCCCAAAGTGACCCCCAAAGCATTTCTAACTATAGGCTGAAGTCCCTGTGAATCAGCATACATTTTCTTGGAGTCTTTCACCTTTAAAATTAAAAAAAAAATTTACATCCTACTTATACCTATGATTTTTAAAAAATTGTTTTAAAATTCAAAACCCTTTAAGACAAAAATGCAAATCTCCCATACCTAAAATCTGAGTAAATGTCAAACTAGAGAAAGATCTACCATGTTTATCTTTTGGCTTCCTGGTATAGGGGTTGGCAGGCCCACTTGCTGCTGTATGAGAATTAAGGACTAAATCATCAGTGGGAATTAAGAAGTCATCAGTTAACAGTGTTTACCTAAATGGCTTTGAACTAGACAGGACAGACCTACTAAGTCTATAGTCCTCCTTTGTGTAAGGCAGTCTCAGGCCTTAACCACAGGCTGTGTGACTGACTGTCCCCAGCTGACTGTATCAGAGGTTGGTTCCTGGGATAAAGGTTACTATCCATAAGAGCTAGATGCCTATGAACTCCCTTCTCAAGAATTCTGACCAACAGGGATGCTATATGCTAGAAAGATACCAAATCAATTATTAAACTCTGCTTCTGAGGAGTTTTGAATATAAAACACAGATGAATGACACAGATGGTGAGAATTTAGAATGAGGGCAATGCTATAGAGCAACATGGTGATAGAAGCAGATAAGTAAGAGAGAGATTCAGTAGTAGAGATGGAAGAGAAGGTCTGGGTCACTGGAAGGATAGCATACTCTAAACCTGTTGTATTCTAAATATAGTTTCATTTCTCGCTGACAATATTTTCTTTGTTTACTAAGTGACTATAACTTGAAATAACATTTAAGACTCAAGCTCTAAAGAGTCAAGCACTGACCTAAAAATGTTACCAAAAGCAAAAGCTGAGGTGGCAATCTATAGAATGTGATCTCCTATATACTTAGCTATAGGTGCAGACACATACTGGTAAATGCTTCTAGTTAAGGTTTTGTCGACTTTTGTTCCACTCCTGTGCTTCATTTCATCCAAGATAAAAATAGGAGAAAATAAGTTTGACACTGGGGTACTTACCCAACTCTAAAGCTGCTATTAGTGCCAAAGCAACAAGGGCTTCATTCTGCATTATTACATGTTCACTAGTTGCCATGGTAACTAGATGCTTGATGCCACCACTCTGTACAATGGTTTTAATTACATCCTGCAATAAATATCACAGAGTTATAAACTTTAATTTTAAACATAAAGAAACTGCATTATAGTCAGTCAATTCATTGTTAAATTGAGTGGTTTTCTGACAGTGTCCTGTATGAATCATTACATTTAACCATAATTTTTTTCATCACAGAAGAAAAGAAAAAAGCTTTTAGCTTTAAATAAATTCATCAAAAGATGACAACTTAAATTACCTAACTGAAAAAGACCACTGCAGTTCATAGCAAGGAATAGAGAGTCCCAGAAGCAACCAGTCAAAAAAATAAGTGTGACTGCCTCAAATGTTGACTTACCACAGGATCAAAAAAAAGAGTAAGATTTAGAATAACAACAACAAAGTTCTTCTTTTCAAATTATTATTACAGCACCAGGCAGCTGTTTTCCAGATGATCAAGGTAAAGTTTCGTTTATGTTTTTTAGCTTTTACCCCTTTGTTGGATCTGACAAAACTGGATTACATGTCAAGAGACTTGAGAAGAACTTCAGATTGTCTTCCTCACTTCTCATGGCATCTACAGCTATCTTCGTCAATGGCAGAGTAGACCGTGGCTTCCAGATTGAAAAACACAGTGTCAACACTGACTAAGCAAATTACTGAACCTCTCTGAATTTCAGTGACTTTATCTATAATACTGGGATAGTGTTATCATAGCTTTTTGTGATAATTACAAAGTTATTACATGAAAAACACATTATAAGAATATATGACAAGGCAAAAGTTAGATTTTTTTAAAATGGCACATTTATTTCTAGTATTCATTTTTGTTTTTATCTCAGTTTTGTTTCCTAAAAACTCTTGGATTAAATGTGATTTAGCAGAAAGTCTCAATTACAGAATTTTTAAAGTAATTTTCTTTGTTCTCACTACTTTTAGTAATTTAAGTGGATATTAAGTAGCCTGTCTGCATTAGCTTCAACAGTATAAAACTAACTGTAATTAGAAATATTTTTAAAATTAATTTGCTATAATATTTGAAGAGGGGTTTCCGTTATGCTTCTACCTTCTATAAATTCTTAAGAAAACTGTTTATAGACAGTATCTTTGCTTTGAGCCCAAACGCATTTAGAGATCAAATATTCTAAATCATTGGAGTCCTAGTACTGAGTTTTTATGGTGGCTATATTCTGGCATCTAAGTAGCCTTTTATCATTACCCTCTTTTAGTAAGTGTCTTTTAAAGCCCTTTCTAACAAATAGAAAGCCTCCCAATGTACTTGGTGGGCACTTTATTTGAAACTTAAAATTGTAAAGAATTTTATAAAAATCACAAAGGAGCTTCTTGAATGAAGAAGACAAGAGGGAAGTTCATAGATACATATGCAGTCACTTAATGAAGGTTCTTGGACTAGCATTTCATCCTTTATTTTGTGGTTCACCCCAGAGAGTCCACTGTAGTAGAAGGAGAGGCAGATAATAAATGAAGAAGGAAACTGTGTATCAGAAGTGAGTAGCTCCCTATAAGTTCAAGCATAGCTTATTTACCATCTCATTTATTTTATTTTTATTTTAGAGAGAGAGAATGCACAAGCAGAGGGAGAAGGACAGAGAGAATCTCAAGCAGGCTCCATGCAGAGTGTAGAGCCTGACACGAGACTTGATCTCACAACCCTGAGATCACGGCCTGAGCCAAAATCGAGTCACATGCTTAATTGACTGAGTTACCCAGAAGCCCCTCCATCTCACTTTTTTGAACAGAAAACAGAGTATTGCTTTTTAAAGTGCCTGCTCTCTCTCCTCCTACTTCAGTAAATGTTTATTGAATAGCTCCTCTAGGAAGTTGCTTTGCCTGACAGAAATGGAAGGTAAAAGACAAATGAAGCCTTGTTCTTGTGCTGTATGACATAAGAGAATACTACTGATAGCTACCCTCTATGGAGCAACAAGTACACACTGGACATTATACTGGGTAGCTTACAGACATTAGCATATTCTTATCCTCCCAGAAAATCCCCTCATTTAATTAACAGATGAAAAAACTTAAGCTCAGATTAAGTTATGAAATCTTTCCAAAGTTGGTGATTAAGTGGTAAAAAAGTCAAGACTCATATCTAGGCAGTTTGCTTATCACTTCCTTGTTCCTAATCACTGTGGTCTACGCAAAAGTGTATGTACTAAATTCATCATTAGTATCATACATAGCTAGTCACAATGTGCTCTACAGAGGCTCTATGAATGTATTTTAAAGTTATATTTTAAACTTCAAGAAATTAGGGGGAAAAAAGGATATTAGTGCCACTCCACAGAGCAAGGTTCATCTAGAGAATTATAAGTAATTTTAACCAATACACATCTAAAATTAACCTAGAGAGTTTAATTTTTCTGAAACCATTTCATTTATTAGACTGGAGAAATATACAGGAAGACATTTTTCTGGGTAATCTTTCCAAGCCCTAAGTGCATCTGCAAAATCTCCAAAAATTTTGGACATACTTTATAATGCTTTACAAAGGTTTAAATGATGTATTATCTTGCAATCCTATTTCATAAGGAGTTTTCTTATAGAAAGTTAAATTTTGGCACAAACATAACTAAGGCAAATTATGTATGTAAGAGTTTCACATATTTAGCTTTTATGGTCCATTTGCCCTTAATAATTGAGATAATCCAGCTACAAACTTTGCTGAAAACTGTATAATATTGATTACAATGTAATGTTCTGAAGTAGGCTTAAATCCAAGATAATCAGTTTATAACACAGCCACTGAATCACCTAACAAAAACTTTCTCGACTTTGTATCATCAAAGACTACTTCCCAGCACAGGATATCAGATGTTAGATGTATGAACGAATGCTGAAATAAATTTTGTTTCATTAAGTTTTTAGCTTGATAACTGAAGAATGTTTTACCCTTAAATAAGGAGGAAGGAGAGTACCTCGACAGGAGGCAACTTTTATATTCCTACTGTAGAAGCAAACTGTACTTTTCTGTTTTTGTTGTCTACAATCAGAAGGTCCAGCTAGCTGCTCAAGAGTCCTAGCCTAGGACACTCTTTCGAGGGAAGATGTGAATTTACCTCTTGGCACAAGTGCAGGAATACACTGTATATGGCTGGGATGACTAAGCGAGTGTGAAACCTTGTGAGTCAGTGCAAATTTTTAGAGGGTTGGACTCTAAGACAGAATTCAGTGTGACTTTAAAAGGAGTAGGATCTTCAAAGTTTAAAAATAACACAAGGAGAGAACTGTAATTCCCAATAGTTGGTTAAGGATCTACAGGAATGTGACTCACTTGTGCCTAGTGTTTAAAAGATTCTTCCAGAGTAGGATTCTCTGAAGTATGTCCAGTGGAATGTATTTGATAGATGTAACTTGCAGAAACCCATTGTCTGATAGTTTGGGGATCAGTGGAGTAAACAGAGTTAAGGTTTTTTTTGAGTTGTACTAATGTGGGCTGTGAGTTCCAAAGGCAAGGAAAGGGAATGAACTACTTCCTAACTAACTTGATCATACAACCTTCTCTCTTTGTGCAGTGTTTTTTAGGGTTATTATTCAATGGAACATACTCTGAGAACTGCTTTGATTCTCAAAAGGTATCACCCATTCTACTTTAATGTTTGCGAAATTTAAAAATAATTTAAGAGTTCTGATCTGGAGCTCACACAAGGAACACGCCTTATGTTCTGATCATTAAAGTATGCAAATCAAGGCTCCTAATGCTGCTTAGGAGCAATATACACTTAACTGTAGGGAACATATGCAAGGAACAAACAAAAAGCCTGGCCTGCAGGACTGAACTGTAAACATACAGTTACAATGTGACCATGAAGTTAAAATTATCATCAAACTGTATCATTTCAAATTGCTTTTTTGTTACACACACACAGCCCTAGAAAGGTGCAATGCCTTGTTCCCTGGTCTTTTCAAAACACCTACATGATGACGATACTTAATGGGTACTTGAAAGCTTTTATTTTCTGGTGGGGGGAATGGGGGTATAGATGAGAGACAGGGAAATCTGTGATAAATATTAACAGAAAAGGCTCAAATCCCTCAAATCTCAATTAATATAGCAATTGAACAGTTTTAGCTCCAAGATTTGGTTAAGAAGTTGTGATGCATTTTCCCAAGGGCGTAAGTGAAATGCCCGAAGTTTCACTTTAGAAAACAGGTTGTAGAAAAATAAAAGGCATATAATATAGATAATAAATCAGCTGCTAACCTGCTGGCCTGGGTTTCCAACACTGTGATCCTTATAATAGTTTATTTGCTCATTCATGTATTCATTCACTCAACAAACAGGTTAGCAACCACATGTCAGACACATCCTAGGCTGGACACCGCTCTGGGAATGGATTTCCTCCAACTTTGTGAGTTTAGAGCATCACATACTATCTTGATATCATTTAATTTCTTAATATCATTAGCTAGCTTGGTCAGTGCCCAGTCCACCGAAGATGTCGGACACTGAGTGTAGTGGTAAAAATGGTGAGACCAGCAACATTTACAACGACTCCACTTGAGTGCTTTCTACGTCCCAGGTACCAGCTGAGCACTTTGCATATGGGATCTCACTGACTCATTCTCACAGAACTTTCAGGTCGGTACTAGCCCAGGTCTAACATACTGAGATACTGGGGTGCGAAAGACCTGAGCAAGTATGGTAGAGATAAAATCTGAACTCAACTGTTTCATTCCAAAGCCTTATGGGATTAACTATTATGGAATAAAACTACATGCAAAAAGCTCAATCTTCAACTTTTTCAGGGTTGTGGATCACAGGCATCCCTCATCTTACTGTGCTTCACCTCATTGTGTTTCACAGATACTGCGTTTTATGTAAACTGAAGGTCTGTGCTACCCTGTGTCAAGTAGGTCTATCAGAGCCATTTTCCCAGAAACATCTGCTCACTTCATGTCTGGATCACATGTTGGTAATTCTCACAAAGTTTCAAACTTTTCCATTACTCTGTTTGTTATGGTGATCTGTGATCGGTGATGAGGACTCTGAAAGCTCACTGAAAATGGTTAGCATTTTTTAGCAATCAAGTATTTTTTAATTAAGGTATCCAAATTATTATATTAAACATAATGCTACTGCACACTTAGACTACAGTATAATGTAAACACAACTTTTATATGCATTAGGAAACCAAAAAATTCATTTGACTCACTTTTTTGCAATTTTCGCTTTATCACAGTGGTCTGGAACAGAAACTATGATACCTCTGAGGTCTATCTGTAATATATTTATATATAAATATGTAAAATGCAAGCTTATGATATAGGATCTATGATACGGAATTTCCAAAAAGGCCACTTGTATGTTTTTTAATGGACAGTTTTCTCTGGGACTTACTTTTGATTTACTGTGTCGTATGAGGGCAGACAGCAGTCTGTTGGACTCCCCCATCACACCAGCATGATCTTTGGCTTCACACCATTCTACCAAACGCTCCACTAATTTAACATTCTTTCCCAGTTGTTCAGCAGCTTCTGCTATAGGAAGAAAGTCAAACCACAAAGGAAACAATCACTGATAGGCAACCAACTGAAATAACTAGTGAAGATGTAAGACTGTGAAAGAAAATTTTGTGTATATATATATATATATATATACATATATATATATGTACATATATATGTATACATATATATGTAATTGTACAACACAATGATCTTATTAAGCAAGAACTGCAAATACTCCATATCTGATGGACTATTTAGCTTTTTCTACAAAGTTGTGGACTTTCATACAAAACATAAAAATACAAAACAATGTTATACTCTAATGATTCAGCCTGGTAGTATGTTAGTAGTCTGGCAAACTGTAACAAAGGGTATTAGAAGGACTCTGAGAAATCAATTTAGAGAAAGGTTTAGAATTTAGAAATAAGCAAATAAACACAATTCATTCCAAGGAGTAGTTTTTGTCATTTTTTTCCCCTGTGAACAGAAAATGATCTCCCTATTTGCAAAATAAATTTTTAAAAATTTTGACTGTCAGTATACTGAAATGTGATTTTCAAGACAAAGGTAAAAATGGGTATAAAATGGGGTGCCTCGGTGGCTAAGTCAGTTAAGCATCTGCCTTTGGTCCTGGGATAGAGCCCCACGTGAAGCTCCCTGCTCAGCAGGCAGCCTGCTTCTCCCTACCCCTCTGTTGCTCCCCCTGCTTGTGCTCTCTCATTCTCTGTCAAATAAATAAGTATAATCTTAAAAAAAAAAAAAATGGTATGAAACGCTGAAACATAAAAACCCCTCAGAACTGCTAATAAATCAATGTAAAATCAGGATTATATGTACACTAGAGATGCAATACAATTTCCATTTAAAGTCAATTACAACAAGCATGGAAATTAATGAATGGAGCTCTAAAACCAATCTCTCTTTGCCTTTCACTTGCCATTTATCTTTAAGGTTATATAATTCTGAAAGCTAAAAACAAGTCCTTTTCAACTAAGGCACACTATCATACCAAAAATGTACCTTGCAAAAACATTTCTTTTACCTTGTGCATCTATTAACATTCTTAATGTTCCCAGAAGTTTGAATTGAACTGGAGGCATTTCAGACTTAAGGAATTTCAAAACTGCCTCTGTGACTCCAGCCGATAACATCTTAGCTTTATTTACAACTAGAGAGAGAGAGAGAAAGAGAGACTACGGTTAGAATGGTGCTAGCATTCTTGACTGTAGTCATTCAATTCAATACATATTTATTGTCTTACTATTTTTAAGGCCCCATATTACATTTTTCTATTTAAAAGCAGTCTTTTTACTTTAAGAATAGGACTGGGGGTGGGACATAATTTTTTTATTCGTCTATAGGAGCATAACATATGAAATAATATATACTGGCTTTTAAAACCTACCCTCAAAACACTTAAAAATTTATAAAGGAAATCTGAGATTGTTTTCTTATTTACAAAACAGCATAATTCCTCAACTTTAGTAAATGTTTCTTTTTACCTCTGTCCTTGACCCAACTGTGTTAATACAGAAGTTCTAGACAATATTAATAAATAATATTGATCTGTTATATGAAACAAGTTGATTTCTTACGGATTGTATCTTCATACAGTTACACTATTTCACCTAATCAGAAATTTATTTTTAGGAAGCAGAATAATAGCTTTAACTATCTCCTGTACTATTTCCCATGATAATGGGATCTCATCACTCAGAGCGTCTTTAATCCAAAGACACATTAAGGCTATTTTTAAGGATTATGTCTGCTTATAGACAGGTCACAATAGGTACACAAATCACATAAAATAAATACTTCCCTAAACAATAGGATCTTACCTCATACACAGTTGCCTACCATTCTTAAGACCTACCTGGAATGGCAAGATTCCTGAGGGCACTTAATGCTGCATGCTGTACAGTTACATTTCCATCTTCTACATGTCTGTCCAGTAACTCCATAAGTTTTTCTACAATTCCATTGTCTACCATGTGGATACAGTTTCCATCTGAATGAAACAAAAAGATTTCTTTCTTTCCTCTTTACAATTAATTAAATTAATTAATTAATTAAATTAAATATTTTATAGTAGTGATGCCTATCCATTATCTACATTAGGGAAAATGGAGCTACAAGAAAATAAAATGAATTCCAATTGCTTCTCCTATCAAATTCATAGAGTTTTTTTGTTTTCTGAGTAAGAAGTCATGACAAGAAAAATCTCTAGCACACAGCCTGATAATATATTAGAAGATGAGTAAGTAGAAATCATATGCTTAAAATGTCTACTAGTAGTTTTCACTTATAGTCAACTGTGCATGAGTTCTGCCAATGTTACAGTACAATATACAGAATGCCGTCACAGCTGATGTTTAAATTATTTTTCAATGTCAGAATTTTTGAAACATTTTTAAAGCAGAGAATATTATAATGAACCACTATTTATTCCACATTTAGCTGCAAGTAACCCATATTTTACTATTATTAATTACATCATAAGGACTAAATGATCATCCTCAAAAATAAAATGGAATATGACATTCATTATACAGTTACACAGCTAAAAGTGGAATATAATCAAACTAAAAATAAAAAATAAGCCCATATTTCCTAGTCACAGTCTAAGAATGAGTTTCTAGACTAAATAGCAGGAGTTCCAGACTTCAGAAATGAAAATGAAAGTCTAGTGCCTTGGAAATGTTATTAAACCAAATTAAAGATTGTACCCTAAACCAGAGGATTACTGACACTTAAGTTTTAGAGGCACAAAAGTATAAATTAAGGCACAATAACCCTACAAAGAATACTCAGATTATTAAATCAACCACCAGGCAAGAGAGCATATCCTCTCAGATAAGATGCGTATTAGAATGAGGCCCAAATTTAATGATCTTTGAAGTGCAGCGTACTCAAAGAAGGACTTCATGATCACTGTTTATGATCTTGAAACTACCAGAACTTAAATTGCACAAAAAATGTAATTTATTAGAAAAATCACTAAGTAGGGGAGCCTGGCTGGTTCAGTCAGTAGAGCATGAGAATCTTGATCTCGGGGTAGGGAGTTCAAGCCCCATGCTGGGAAGCAAAGTTTACTTAAAAAAAAAAAAAAAAAGAAAGAAAGAAAAGTATTTCATCTCTCTAAAAATTAAGGTAGTGGTACACCACATATACTTCTGAACTGTTCCAGTTTTACTACATGCAATGGCAAAGCAAAAATTAAAAAATATATATATATAGAACATCCAATTTAAAAAGGACAAAATAACATGCTTACCATTTCTGGCAAAATTTGCAATTGCCAATGCTCCAGCAAGCTGTAGCTGGTGGTTATTTGATGGAATCCAGGACAATACCCTTTGAAACACGTTACCTTTTCCTCCTTCAAATAATTTCTGCATGGATTCATCTAGAGGTAAAAGAAACAGATAAGAGGAAAAGAATTAAAAATAACAAATCCATATTCCTATATGACCATCCTACTGGGTAACTACAGACTTTACAAATGATAATTCACAGAAGGAAAAGTAATGCTCTTTTTATAATAAGCTTTTAGTAGAGATCGGAAAAAGAGTTGAGGATTTTTCTAGTTTAAGTCCCAAATAAACTCCTAACTTTCAGCCTTTTTGGTGCCACACCTCTCCTATATGACAGCTCTCTAAGATAACGAAGATAACAAAGACTCCTTTTCTCCAGGTTCGTTATCTCTAATTCTCTCCATGATGCATTTAAGGTTTCAATATCATCACATCAACAGGATTGTATGAGGCAGGAAAATGAGAAAATGCCTAATGTATACGGTATTCATGAAAGAGACAATACATTTTTAAAAATATGACAATCATGTTCTTCGACTGACTTAAATTATAACTCACCTCCAAGAAGTAGTAAAACCATTAGATCTGAAGCAGTTTTGAGCTCAGCAATATCATCCTCTTTGTCACTGTCCACTTTCTGCTGAACAATCTCTAGTAGACATTCTACAAGGCCTGCTTCAACCAGCTGTAGCTTAATAGCATCTAAAGAATATATGAGCAAAATAACCAAAACTTGAGATGAAGTAAAAGTTGTAATAAGCAATACATTATGAAGAATTATAATAAAGAAAATGTATGATTTAGATAATACACTTTCAAAGATTTAAGTTTCAAAACAAAGTACACCTTATATACTTCTTTTCATTTTTTTTTACTTGAAATTAGGTCTCTTTTTACCATGTCCGGCAGCACCTAAACAACTGATTCTCAACTTTGAAGGAAAGTAATAGCACTCCACTGTTAAAATAAATAGCTATCTATTTTAGATATCATGCATCTATTCTAGATATCATGCTCATGTTTAAAATACTATAAAACACCCACACCATTTAAAATAAAACACATACACCTGTTATACAGAGTTAAAGTATTATCCACGAAAGGCATTTGAGTAGAAAGTTATTGAAAGGTAAAGAGCTATTAGTAAATTTCAAACTATACCTAAGTATATTTGGATTCATATTTGTATAAATGTGATTTTTTCCAAGGCCGTTAACAAATCTACAACTTTCTGAATTTCAAAACCCATGTTTTTTAAAAGGGCTTCAGATTTTCATTAATTTAAAGTTTTCCTGAGTAATGGATACATGGTGGTTCATTATACTATATTTTCTTTACATCAGCATGGGTTTTAAATTTTCCATACTAAAAGTTGAAAGAAAAAAATAACTTTTGAACTTTCTGATGGATAACCAGCAATGTGAAGGTATTTAACAGCAAAATTTACATCCCAATTATATTGTTAAAAATTCTCTTCAGAGCAAGCCCTACTCATATCAAATCATTTGCACCCTCATAACTTACATATTTTTTATTACAGAGCTTATTTCATCGCAGATTTTATATTCATATCCATATCTGTCTCCCCCATTACAGTAGGTACTATACCTCTTTCATCTTTGTATTTTAACCTAAACTGGTTTACCTAAATGCTTTGGGTCTTTTTTATAGCACTTAAGATAAATGTAGACAATTACTGAAAGACCTTAGAAACAGTTGCTTAAAGTCTTGTTTTTCAGTTGGATTTTATTTTAGTCATTGGTCTCCCTAAGCTGTATATGTACACATCTATAGCAATGGCAGCTTTAGGTTGTTATTTGGGAGAAACAAAGACCTTTTTATAAATGACATTTTCTTTTAGTCAATTTTAAGATATAAAAATTTAGGTCTCTCCCCCCACCCAACACTAGAACCACTGATACTCTTTAGAATATTATCTCAGAATACACAGAATATTCAACCCGCAATTTTTTTTTTTTAAAGGTACACTTGCACTGTGCCATGCTGAAAGTAGGGCGTTTCCTTGGTTACAGAATGCTAGGGCTAGAAATGTGTGGTGACTAGAATTGAAAGTCATGAGAAAAAGCCTTAAAATTCTAAAAACCTTGAATTATACAAATCCCAATTTTAATGTCTTCTTTGCATACAAGGAAAACCAAAGATGAACACTAAGGATAGTCCAGAAATAAGTTTTCAAAGGTATCATTCAATTCACTGCACAATTATAAAACAGAAGTGAAGGTGGTAAAGGAGGAAACAGATATAAGAAAAACCTTGTTATTTTGACATATTGCAAGAAAGGTTACAAGTAATTCTCTGGTATAAAACTGACTGAAGGTCACAATAAAAATTTCATTTGGCCAAACCACCAAATGAGATGAGAAACAAGTTTTATTCTTTGTTCTTTAATAAGATCTAAAGCATTTAGAAAATTTAAAATGTGTCAAGATTAAAGTTTACAGCTCTCTCACAGTTTGACTGTAATCACATATATATGTGGGAGGCTTTAAGTAGCCTTACTAAGGAGGATCAGCAAAGCAGTCTGCCAAAGCAGATAGCCCAGCACACATTTATCAACACAATTCTGCCCAAGGACATCTATTTTTATAGCCACCATTTGCATATATAGGTAAGTATACATACAGATGTATCATATATATAAATACATAAACACCTATGTACATACATATATTTTAAAATCTTTTCTAAATGGTGAAAAAAATGCCACAAAAGGAATAAAGTACATAATATACATATTAGTTTAATCAATTACTATGAAGCAAATAACCATGTAACTTCCACCAAGATCAAGAAATTCATTGCCAGCATCCCTGGGAGCTCCTCTGTTCATTCCCATTTCCCATCATGTATTACTTACTTCCTCCATTCCTCTCAAATCACTACCCTGATTTTTATGGTAAACACACTCATAATTTTCCTTACTATTTCACTAAATAAATAAGCATTCCTGAAAACTACAGTTTAATTTTACCTTTTTTGAATTATTATATAAATGGAATCTTACAATACATATTTTTAGTGTTGGCTCTTTTTTTTTTTTTTTAAGATTTTATTTATTTATTTGACAGAGAGAGAGAGAACACAAGTAGGCAGAGCAGTAGGCTCTCCACTGAGCAGGGAGCCCAATGCAGGGCTCAATCCCAGGACCCTGGGATCATGATCAGAGCTGAAGGCCCCTGCCCAACTGACTGAGCCGCCCAGGTGTCCTGTAGTGTTGGCTTTTTTCTATCAATGTTTTTAAGATTCATCTAACTACTGTTATTTGTCTTCATTTCTTTTCCTAAGTATAATTTTTTCCATTATATGAGTCTACCATTATTTATTCTGCTGTTAATGGATAGGAGTTGTTTCTAATTTTTCCTTTGTTATAGATAAAGCTAAGAACATTTCTGTAGTGGTTCCTGGTGGACATGTATATGTTTCTGGCTATATTCTAAGAGCAAAATTGCTCAATCACACAGAATACAATCTTGAACTTGTTTTCCAAATTGTACCAATTTACACACTCACCAGCACTTACTGAGTTCCCACCACTCCACACCCTCATCAACATTTGGTGTTATTAGACTTTCCAATGGGTATGTAGTGTTTCATTCTGCATCCCCATTACTAATGAGTTAAGCATATTTTCATGTGTTTATTAGCCATTTGGACTTTATCTTTTGTCAAGTGCCTATTTAAATGTTTTATGTTTTCCCACTGGGCTTTCTACATTTTTCTTAATGATCTGTGGGAGTTTTTATAAGTTGTACACATTCTATTGATTATGTGTGTTGTAGATACCTTTTCTCACTGTGGTGCTTTTCACTCTTAATGGTGCTTTTGGTGTGTTTGATTTCTAATTTTCATTAGAAGTTTTAGCCAAATTTATCAATCTTTTCCTTTACGGCCAGAGATTTCTGTGGCCTAAGACCTTCGAGGTACTGGAAATATATTTTTTAATATCTAAATATAAAGGGATTTCCTAGTTATCTTTTTATTAGACAATTCACTTAAGTCAGAACACATACTCCATAAGGTTGCAACCCTTTGAATTTGGTTAAAACTTTTTTTTTATTAGCTTTTAAAAATTCAATTAAACATATAGCATATCATTAGTTTCAGAGGTAAAGTTCAGTAATTCACCAGTTGCATATGACACCCAGTGCTCATTACATCACATTAGCATCCTCAATGTCCATCACCTAGTTACCCCATCCCCCCCACCAGCAACACTGTTTGTTTCCTGTAGTTAAGTCTCTTATGGTTTGTCTCCTTCTCTGATTTCAACTTATTTCATTTTTCCTTCCTTTCCCCTCAAGTTTATCTCTTTTGTTTCTTAAATTCCATATATGAGTGAAACCATATGAGTGAACCATATATAAGTGAAACCGTATTTACCTTTCTCTGATTGACTTATTTCACTCAGCTAATACCACATCAACGTAAAACTTTTTCATGACTATACGTGTATTATATATTTCATGTGTACTTGAAAAGAAAGGGCCCTGTAGCTGGGTGCAATATGTCCGTTAAATCAGTTTTCTTAATCATGTTGTTAATCTTTTCTATAATCTTTTGTTGTTTTTTTATCTGCTTGTTGTATCAATTACTGAAAGAGGTATTAAAAGCTCCCATGATATTTATGAACTTGTCTATTTCTCTCCATAATTCTGAGTATTTCTGATTCCTATGTTTTCAGGTAATGTATACTTATAGCTCCCAGGTGAAATCAGAACTTTCATCACCTTACCTCTATTAAGTCTTTTAATTTTAAGTTCTTTTTTATCTGATATTAAATATAACTATCTCAGCCTTCTTAAAGTTTGAATGGTTTATTTACTTATGAAGATATATTTATTTTAGAGAGCGAGTACGTGCCCATGGAAGTAGAAGCAGGGAAAGGATGGGAGTAAAGGAGAGCAGAGGAAGAGAAGTAGACTCCCCACTGAGCATGGAGCCTGATGTGGGGCTAACCCAGAACACAAGATCATGACCTGGCCCCAAATCAAGAGCCAGATGCTCAACTGACAGCCACCCACGCTCTCCTGAGTGATTTTTATTTTTTTAAATACTTTTATTCTCAACCTTTTAAATCTCCTTATATTTAACAAGTTTTGTTTTAAAAAGTATAGTTGATTTTTTAAAATTCAGTTGACAATTGGTCTCTTAATTGAAGGATTTAGGTCAAATGCATTTAATATCATTACTGAAAAACTAGGTCTTAACCCTAGTATATTTTGTATGCCCTATTTGTACCCCCTGTTCCATGTTCGTTTTTCTCTCCTCTCTTCTGTTATTTTGAAGGTGTGCTTAAAAAAAAAACTTTCCATAAATCTTTCCATTAGTTTGGCAGTTACACATTTTTTTTTTTTAGATTTTATTTATTTATTTGACACTCAGAGATCACAAGTAGGCAGAGAGGCAGGCAGAGAGAGAGGAGGAAGCAGGCTCCCTGCCAAGCAGAGAGCGCGATGCGGGGCTCAATCCCAGAACCCTGGGATCATCACCTGAGCCAAAGGCAGAGGCTTTAACCCACTGAGCCACTCAGGCGCCCCTACACATTGTTTTTAAAAATTATTTTAGTAATCACATTAAAAGTTGGTGAACCTTCTCAGTTTTTACTCTGAAAATATCTTTAAATTTTGCCTTTAGTGTTTTTTTTTTTTAATTTTAATTTATTTATTTGACAGAGAGAGAAATAGAGAGAGCACAAATGAGGGACAGGGGGCAGGCAGTAGGCAAAGGGAGAGGGAGAAGCAGGCTCCCTGCAGGGAGCCTCAACTAGAGGCTTAATTCTAGGACCTTGGGATCATGATCTGAGCTGAAGGCAGACGCTTAAGTAACTGGAGCCACCCAGGCGCCCTTGTCTTTAGTTTTGAAGGATGTTTTCATGCAGTTTAGAATTCTAGGTTGGCACTTTTTATTCCCAGCATGTGGAAGATGTTTCATCGTCATCTGTATTTCATTGTTGCGCTGGAAGATAAGCAGTCAGCCAAACTGTCACCCTTTTTAAGATGATCTGTTTTTTTCCTGGCTGTTTTTAAGATTTTTGTCATTAGTTTCCTATAGTTTCAAGATACTGTATCGATATGTAGATTCCTTTTTATCAGGTTTTGATTCCTTTGGGTTTTTGAATATTTGTTATCTTACATTAATAATTTCTGCCAAATTCTCTGTCAAAATTTTAAAAAATATTGCCTCTGCTTCCCTCACCATTTTTTGGAACTCCAAAAAATATATGTGAGAGCCTCTCATTGTACCCTTTGTATTTCTTATTCTCTTTTTATGTATATTGATTATTTTTTCCCTTTTTATACTTCATTCTGGATTTTCTTCCCATCTGTCTTCCAGTTCACTGGCTCTCTAAGATGACTATGTTTAATCTAAATCCATCTATTAGGTTCTTATTTTGGATTGTATTTTTTTCAATTCAGGAATTTCCAATTGTTTTTCAAATCTGCTATGTCACTTTTTATAATTTCTAATTTCCTTCTAAATTTTTCGAGGTTCCTTTTAACTTTCTGAATATAGTAAGCACACCTATGTTGAGTCAATGTCTAATAATTCCAGTATTTGGAGATTTGCTGTTGTTGCCTGTTCTTTGTGCTAGTTCTTGCTTACACGGTCTTGGTTCCTCATGTATATCATCCTTACTGATTATGTGCTCGACACTGTATTTGAAAAATTATTTATATGGGATGGTATGTTTACTCTGGTTCACTCTTATTCCTATGGTGTATCCCTTTAGATTTTTTACCAAAAATGGGAATAGTTTACCAGTGTCCACACTGTCCTTTTGCCTTACAAGGCTTTATAAGTGAGGTTCAGCCCTCAGGTGCCTTTTCCAGATAGGCATAAAAATGTGTAAGCCACAGAATCATGTTTAGACTTCATAATCAAAGAAACTTGGAAAGTAGTTTTGGCAAATGGAGATATAGTTACAGAGTAGATAAGTAGCTGAAGTTATAGATACCCAAATAAAACATCACATCGTTAATAAAGCAAAGAAGACTTTTGAGTTAAATAGCTGGCAACTAAGTAATATTAGAAAAAATGGAAAAAGCATATATGATAAAAAAAAATCCAGAGACGCATTTATTTTCTCACCATTTTCTGCCAATGGAGCAAGAACTTCAAAAATCATTTCCCTTTTATCATGTTCTATTTGTTTCTTGAAGAGTTTTACCAGCTCTTCAGCAATGTTCGTACTGGCAAACTGTTCTTTACTTGACTCTGCAAAACAGGAGAGGTAATCTTAGAGTAAACACACAAAATTAAATGCAGAAGTTGTTTTTTATTACTTTAAATTCATGCTCATTTTGTACCATTACTGATAAATACAAATACTCAAGTACAGGAACTATCAGATACATCTTACATGCTCCTGAAAAGAAAAATGGCTTTAAAGAAAACATTTCAACCCAGTTTTATTCAAGTCTATAAAAAAAGGTTCACTAGCATAATGTATAGGTAACCATAGCAACAATTAAATTACTAAGTTATAAATTCATAATTTCAAGGTTTTTAGTCAAAGAAGAAAAACTGCTCATAACAGACTGCATTTTACATGGCTGAAGTAAAGATGACTTATCATCATTACATTTAGATTAAATTACATTTAAAACGGTATGTTCTTGTGCTGGTCCTGACATGCCTACTATTAAAGGTCAATTCTTCACATGTACTTGGGGTCTCATTCTCTCCTGCCTCTTTAGCATTTCTAATCTCTCCTCACTCCAGAGACCCACCATCAGCATTTAAATATGCTCTAATATTTCTCACACAAAAAAGCAATCTTAAAAATAGCTTTCTCCGGGCACTTGGGTGGTTCTGTTGGTTGAGCCTCCAACTCTTGGTTTTGGCTCTAGTCATGATCTCATGGGTTGTGGGACTGAGCGCCCTCCCCACTGCCCCCGCCCCGAAATGAGATCCATGCTCAGCAGGATGACTGCCTTTAGATTCTCTCCTTCTGCCCCTCCTCCCACTCACACATGTATGTTCTCTCAAATAATCTTTAAAAAAAAGAAAAACAACCATCTTCTACTTTACTTTTCTTCAACTACCATCCAATCTCTGTTCAGTTTCACAAACTAGTTTCTTGATAGCATCTACATATACTGTCTCTACTTTCTGAACTCACATTTGCTTTTAAACCCACTTCAAACTAATTTTGGCCCACCTGCTCCTCCTCTTCTATCAAACCTCTCTATAAATTCCAGTTCCTTGGGACTTGATCCTTTTTTTTTCTTATCTTTTTGGTCCTCTCATCCCAGACAATCTAATTCTCTTCCACAGCAACAAATCAGTACCTGTATGTTGATACTTATACAGTCCTCTCTCTCTAACCCTCTTCTATACTTCAAGCTACTTATTTAACTGATCACCTGACATCTCCATGTGAATAATCCCCTCTAGTATCCAGACTCAGTGTCTAAAATTAGGACTTTTGGTACTACCTGAAATCTGTATTTCTTCCAGATTTCCTTTACTTCCTTTAGTTGTAAATGAACAGTTCATCTATCCATCTACCCGGGCAAAAACCTAGTAGTCATTGCTCACTTGTTCTCATTCAACTTTACCTCCAGTGAATTACCAAATTCTACCAATCTGCCTCCAAAAATACAACTGGAATCCATTCCATTTCTCTCCATTATCTTCTTAATTTCTTTTGCTGCCTCAGATGTCCTAAAAATTTATCCAGAATTTTCAGAGAATTCTGACCAAATCCAATCTAGATTTGTTACTCTCTGTTTGGGGGCACAGGTGATATCCTAGAATTTTTTAAATCATTATCTTAATAGATACTTTCTTTTCCTTCCAGTATTAGATACTCTATTATCTATATCCTTTTGCCTTCACTTCTTTCAATTTGGTATAAGCATCCTCCAGCAGCTTCCAAATACACTTCTTATAAGACTACATACAGGAGACAAGTATTTTAAAATCCTGACTGTCTGAAAATGCTTTATCCCACCTAGAGTTTGTGCCTCTAATTTAAATTAGTCCCTCACCTCATTCCATTATTTTCTCATACTAGCAATTATCACAATTTATAATTATATGATTGTTTATAAATTTGTTTAAAATTTTTCCATCTCACCCACTAAGCCATAAGCTCCTTGAGGGCAAGGACGATGTGTATTAGCTACCACAAACACCGTGTACAGTATAGTGCCCAGAACATAGCAGGCATTCAAAATAATGCTTGACTGAATTAAAGTGTGACTGAATGAACAATTAAATAAATATAAGAGGTAGATTCTGCTCTCTCGTTTCAGGTAAATCTCTGTTGATATCAAATAAAAAATACTGCAAATTCAACATTAAAAGAGAAAGGAGAAACATAAATCTTCACATGACTTCATAGTTGTTTTTTAATTTAATTTTTTTTTCAGTGATCCAAATTCATTGTTTATGCATCACACCCAGTGCTCCATGCAATATGTGCCCTCCTTAATACCCACCACAGGGCTCACCCAATCTCCCCTCCCAAACCCTCAGTTTGTGGGCTTCATAATTCTGGATTCATTTCTATCACACTGCTTTTGGTGCCTGCATCAGATCTATGCCAAAATGATGAAAATCTACCCCAAAACTTTATGAATCCTTCATGCCACAAAAAAGAAGTAGGAGTGGAATGTCTTTTCTAATAAGCCTCCTAAACCCTCAGAGATCATATTCTATAAATGTCAGCACACCTTACCCTATAAAGTGAGTTTTATATAAATAGGGATGATTTAAGTCCTGAGGACTTGGTTGCTCCTTTGCTTCAGACAGTTCTTCAAATGGGTAGAATTTCAGGGACATAAAATCATAGGTGAAATAGACTGACATCAACATTTATCTCTGTGCTCATTCTTTTTAAAAATAGTGTTAGTGTTCTTTTTTCCAATTCATATTCTACTCCTTCACTTAATAAACTAAAACCAAATCACTTCTGCTAAGTAATTCAGGCCATCTGTCACCACAAAGAAAAGAATGCTTTATGATTAATACACATATTAAAGAACAAGATCTGTATATATCCTAAAGGTGGATACAGAGAAAAGGCAGCATGAAGTATGATTTGAACATATCTGAATCAAATTTCATGGATGCTTAACATACCCTTGGCAAGAACCCTTATTTACTAAAGTTTTTTTCTGTTTTCTGTTTTTTGTTTTATATTTTATTTATTTATTTTAGAGATATAGGGTGAGAGAGAGAAAACATGAGTGGGGAGGGTCAGTGGGAGGAGACTCCCTGCCAAGCAGGAAACCTGGTTAGGGGCTTGATCCTGAGACTACTGGATAATGACCTGAGCTGAAGGAAAACGCTCAACCATCTGAGACACACAGGTACCTCTAAAGTTATTTTTATCAAAATAATTAATGGGTGGGGCGCCTGAGTGGCTCAGTGGGTTGAGCTTCTGCCTTCGGTTCAGGTCATGATCTCAGGTCCTAGGATAGAGCCCCGCATTGGGTTCTCTGCTCAGCAGGGAGCCTGATTCCCCTTCTCTCTCTGCCTGCCTCTCTGCCTACTTGTGATCTCTGTCAAATAAATAAATAAAAACTTAAAAAAAATTATTCATGAGCTTAAAGAGATACTTAGTTCTAATACTTAAATTACAAGAATCCAGTCTCCTTCTCCCATTTTTCCTTCTCAGAAGCAAAGCACATAAAGCTCTTTTAGCTAAGTCATTGGTATTTACCTCCACACTTTTAAATAACATATCTGTATTGACACTTTTTGATTTTTTTAATTTCAAGTATATTTTATTGACTTTCCAATATAAACAATTAGGCCTTAGGTTTCTTCCCCCCCGCCCACAAACCCTCATCTTCTCAATATAATTATACTGTAATTTGGGTTATATCAGTAACTAGTGTTTTAATAATATAGTATATCATTTTCCCTAGAATTATTTTTTGTTCCTTTGGGATTATTTTTTTTTTCATTTGCTTACTTTTCTATGTACTTATCATTAATTCAGCTCCAAACTCCAAACTGTTGATCAACTGTCTGATCTTCTCTTAAGAAGCTCACTTTAGGTAATCAATCAATTTCATCTCCTTCAAGAATTACCCCAACCCCAACTCTAGCAGCCTCTGACTTGTTCCAATCTGGTCTAGGTGCTCTTTGAAAACAGGCCATTTGGGGCCCTCAAGTCACTATCCTAATAGGAATTCTTCTTTTCCTGTTGGATCTCTTGTCTCCTGATTGCTATGTAGTCTTCTTTCTTAATTTAAACTCCTTGCTTTGGTGGAACACGTCTCACAGTGGCTTCCAGAGGAAAGGTATATAGGATAGTAATTTTCTGAAATGCTCATGTTTGCTAATGTCTTTATTATAACTTCACACTTGTTTGACAGTTTGATTGGGTATAGAAATCTACATTGGAAATCATTTTCTCTCCAATTTTTGAAGGCAGTACTTTATCTTCTTCTGGTTGCCAGTGTTTTGAGACATCTAACGTCTACATTTTTATACTCTTTTGTATGCAACTTTTTGTCCTCTAAATTTCTAAGATGTTCTTTGTCCCATTTTAAAATTTCCAACAGGGGGCGCCTGGGTGGCTCAGTGGGTTAAAGCCTCTGCCTTCAGCTCAGGTCATGATCCCCCAGGGTCCTGGGATAGAGCCCTGCCTGGGGCTCTCTGCTCAGCGGGGAGCCTGCTTCCTCCTCTCTCTGCCTGCCTCTCTGCCTACTTGTGATCTTTGTTGAATAAAAAAATAAAAATCTTAAAAAAAAAAATTTTCAAACAGATAAGCCATGATCTGGGTCTATTTTCATCCATTAAACTAGGCATTTGACAGCCCGAATCATGGAAAATTATGTACTTTAGTTCTGTGATGCTTAAGTTATTTAGCAATGGTCTGTTTATCTATTTCTAAAACTTTTGGCCTAATTCTCTTATCTGTATTTTCTCTTCTATTTTCTATCCTCTTGTTTTTCTGCTTTACTTCTGCAACTATTTCTCCAAAACAACTGTCTTTCATTTTAGCTATTCTGCTTTTAATGGTCAAGGTTTTTGCTTCTGCTCCTCTTTCTTTAAAAATAGCATCCTATTAGCATCCTATTACAGTTGCACATTCCCAGTATTTTCTTCTCACTTACCTGAGTATATTTGCTCTTTTTTCCTTACCCTGCATGGTTTCTATTTCCTCCAAATTATTTCTTCTATTTATTTCATTACCTTTCATGTTAGAAGCTATCTTTACCTCTCTAATTGTCTATATATTGATTAAAAATTGG